TGATGGGCACCCTGAAGCCACGTGTCCCCGGCCCCCCCACCCCCGTGTCCCCTCACCGCTGCTGCTGCCCACCCAGCCGCACCCCCTCTCCCCCTCCTGCTCCGTTTATCTCCTGTTTTCCCATTCATTCCCTTTTCTCCTCCAGCCCAATGAGTCACACAAGCCTCGAATCCTTTGCCTGCTGCCGTCTCCTCCCTTCTATTATATTTTTTCCTTTGCTCTTAACAGCACTTTCCTTTTTCACCCGTGGGGGGAGAGATTTGGGATGTACGTTTTTCCCGCCCCCCCCCCCCCCAGCTACCTCCCAGCTCCTGCCTCACCGTGAAGCCCTTAAAAGTAATAAATAAATAAAATAACGGCTGAGGAAAGAAAAGGCAGGAAACGAGTGACAGGGAAAAGGAACCAAAACGAAAGAAAGAAGGAGGAGGGAGGAAAAAAGTCCTACTCGGGCTATGAAATATTTATTAGCCAGCGCGTGCCGAGCGCGTTAATAAAGCTGCAGCATTTGCATATTCCTTCCGTCGGCGAGGAGCGAGGTGTCTGTTCGGGGGGTGGAGGCACAGCTGATCCAAAGCCAATCCCCCCCGGCCCCGCAGGTCACGGTCCCGCTCCAGGGGGTGTGTCGGTGTCACCGGGAGCAGGACCCCGGGGCGGTGCCGCGGGGCCACAGCTGGCACAGCTGGGGGGTTTGGTGGATTGTTTGGTGGATTTGGCTGGATTTGGATTTGACTGGGTTTGGATTCGGCGAGTTCGTCTGGGCTCTCCCCTGGCCGAGGAGCTGCCGGTGTCGGGTTCATCCACCCCGGTGCCGGAGGTGCCTTTTCTGGTCTGGGGATCTCCAGCACCCCGCTGCCAGCCCAGGGGTGCCCAGCAGCACACCAGTGCCTTGCCCTGGCACCAAGGGCTCCCCAGGACTGTCCCTTGGGGCTCAGCGTGGCAGCAGCACAGCCGTGACCCCGCCGTGTCCAGCAGGGATGGGGACAGGGACAGTTTGGCCATGGGGATGGGGACGGGCTGGGATAGGGGTGGGCACACGGGGGGCCTGGGAATGCGTCACCCAGGGCGTGCAGCCACACCAAGGACCTCGCTCCGTGCATGTGTGTGTCACCCCGCGTGTGTCACCCCGCGTGTGTCACCCCGCGTGTGTCACCCCGCGTGTACACGTGGAGGTGCCCGTGCACGCCCAGCCGCACGTGGAGCACCCGCTGGCATTTGTTGCGTTCACCCGGGGGCAGAGGTGACCTGGGCACACGCCCACAACACCCACGCCCTCACCCCAGAGCCGCGACACGCTCGCCCCGAGGCTCGGGAACACCCAGCCCGCAGCTGCGGCCGCTCAGCCACGGCCGGGTCCCTCCCGCCGGGTCCCTCCCGCAGCCCCGCGGACCCGGCGCGGCACACCCGGCACCGCATTAGCACCCGCGCGGCGCCGGGAGATAAATGGGAGCTGTCAGAGGCACCTTGTTTGCTGCTAACCTTTGGAAATGCCACCGCGCCCCGGGCTGTGCGCGCCGGGGGGAGCGGCCCCGCGGGGATTGTCGCTCACCACCTCCAATTAATCTCCTGGCGCTAACGAAGGCGGCGGGGTGACAGGGGGAGAGCTGGGGTGGCAGGGGAGAGGCCAACCTGACCCTGTGCCCACGGGCAGAGCGGGACAGCCCGAGCAGCAGAGCGGTGTCTGTGCTGCCAGCGGCCCCTGCTAAGGTGGGGGACAGGATGGGATCGGGGAGCAGGGTTGGGGATGGGGATGGGGATGGGGATGGGGACAGGCTGATGGTGGGGATGGGGACAGACTGATGGTGGGGACGGGGACAGACTGATGGTGGGGATGGGGACAGGCTGATGGTGGGGATGGGGACAGGCTGATGGTGGGGATGAGGACAGGCTGGCTGCATGGACAGGGACAGGCTGGTGGTAGGGATGGGGACAAACTGGTGGTGGGCACAGGGCCAGGCATGCAATGGGGACAGGGCCAGGCTGGTGCCAGAGACCCTTCCCTTTGTTGAGAAGTGTCACTCTGCTCCTGGTGCTGGCGGGGGCTGTTTTGCCTTGAGCCCGTACCCCACCACTCCCAGCCCCACTCTTGGGGTGCTGGAGCTCATCCCAGCCCACACCAGGGCAGCTGCTCCCCCCACCCCCCCCGTGCTGCTCCGCTCCCCTCTGCCAAGGTGACCGAGGGTCTCGGGGGAGCAGCTGACGGTGCTTGGCCCCGGCAGCAAATGGGATGTGAGTGGCCATCACTGCTGGGCCTGACAGACCAAATTGATGCCGGCACCGAGAGCCTTCCCGGTCCCTCTGCAGCCACATCCAGCCCTTCCCGCATCCTTGCCTGGCTCCGTGTGTGCGGGGCGTGACACGTGGTGCCCGGGGGCTGCAGCCCCGCGGGGGCACAGAGGGGCACACGAGGGGCTTGAGAGCAGCTAAAGCACGATGCCAGGGGGATCGTGATGAGGAGGGGGGCGCGGGCAGGAGGATGAGGAGGGGAGCAGCAGGGATGTGTGGATGCAGCAGCACATGTGGCAGTAACAAACAACCGTCTCAGGCCCCCCGAGGTGACCGATGTGCGGCAGCGGAGCCCCGCACGCCACAGGGCCAGGCATGGCCCTGCCCGGCATCGGGCACGGGGCCTGGTGCGGGCAGGGAGGGAGGGGGCTGGCACTGGGACCCCCCTGTGCACCCACAACGCGTGTCCAGGAGGTTCACGGGCACGTGTGTGCAGCTGCACCCCCGGCCCAGCGGGAGCATTAATATTTAACGCGAGGTGTGCGGGACCTGCCCTGCATTCCGACAGCGCTGCCAGGGCGCAGGGGGGTGACCTTGGCTCCCCTCGGCGCTGCCGTGGGTGAGGTGCCCGTGGCCCCGCTCGTCCCTGCCCCTCCCAGCCCCCCGGCCGGCCCGTGCCGGGGCTCGGCGGGGGCTGCGGGCAGCGAGGGTCCCCCCGCGCCCCCGGACTGCGCCGGTGCCGGTGCCGCGATCGATCGCCCTGCCTGCACCGCAGCCGCTGCCCTGCTCTGCAATTCCCTTTCATCTCCCGCTCCCCCAGCAGCTCCTGCGGAGGGACTGGAGGGGTTGGGGGGCTGCCAGCCTGGCCCTTTGCCGGCAGGGGCCGGGGGCACTGCAGGGGTGGGGGCTGTTTGCTCTGTCCATTCCTATCTGTGCCCCCTGGCCCCTGGCTTCATCCTCCTGCACCTCCTACACCTCCTGCACCAGCCTGGCCTGGGCCCTGCAGCCCCCAGGACTGCAGGGGGCTACTGCCCATCTCCCCTGCTGCCACTGCATCCCCTCCCCACTGCCTGCCCGTCCCCGTCCCTGCATCACCACCTCCATCAATTCCCATCCCAGCCCCTTCCCATCCCATCCCATCCCACCCCACTCCCCCCTGCGGGGGATCGTGGGCAGGGGGGGATTGCAAAGGGAAACTGAGGCAGGGGAGGAGGGTGCAGGTGCCCGCAGTGCCGCCGGGGACGGGCCCTGGCTCCCAGCCCTGGCTGCGATGGAAATCCAGCCCAGAGCTCTCGGAAACCTCCAGAAATCCTTCCCGGTGGTGGGGGCTCGGCAGCGTGTGCTGCTGCGGGTGTTCCCCGCGGGCTGCAGCCCCCGGCCCCTCGCTGCGGGTGCAGGCGGGTTTGGGGGGCTCCCAGTTGTGGGGTCACCGCTGCCCCTCGGCCTCCCCAGGGCGGGATGTGGGGGGCTCGAGGTCTGATGGACGGAGTGATGGAGCAGAGCTGGGATGCAGGGGGAGCTGCAACCACCACCCCCCCCGCCCGAAATGCGTCTCTCCCAGCCCGGGGGTGCCCCTCTCCCCCTCCTCCCGTTATCTTGCCATCCCGGTCCTGCCCCCCCTCTCTGGCTGGCGAAGGAGCCGGGCTTTGAAGCTGCGTTGAAATATAGATAAGGGCGAAGGCAGCGGCGGCGCTCGGGGGGAGCCGGGGGGGGCTGGCCGGGCCGGGGGGGTGCGGGGATGGATGCTGAGCCACAGCTCTGCACCGCACACCCTGTCCCCCCCCGGGCCCCCCCGATGGGCTGAGACCCCCCAGATCCCCTTCCCACGGCCCCGTGGAGCTGCCTGTGCCTGCCCAGCTTCCTCTCTCCTGTGGGGCACGTGCCAGAGCAGATTTAGGGGCTCAGCCCGGCACACGCAGGGGGATGAGGTGACGGACCCCAGGGATGGATTGGATCGAGCCCCCGGCTCGACAGCAAGTGTGGGGGTCCATGGCTGGGCCCCCCCATGGTGCTCAAGCAGAGATCCTCACACAGACCTGCCTGGCCGTGGAGAAGGGGGCCTGGGGGGCTTCCCCCTCTCTGAGGAGGGTCACGAGCCCCCCATCATTCCCGATGGAGGTTGTTCCCAAGCAGGAAACACTGCGGGGTGGGTGATGCTGGGATGAGCTGGAGCCGTTCCCCGGGCCCACCTCAGCTCCCTGTGGGAGTGCAGCCCCCCCCGCTCCCCCCAGCCCCTCCAGCTGGTGCCTCTGCCCCCCGCCCCGCTCCCCCCTCCCGCCTTCCCCCGGGATCCGGGTCAGCCAGAGCAGAAAGTGCCGGAGCAGCGGAGCACCTGCCAGCTCAGGGTGACAGTGATTGACGAGGCCGGGGCTGCTGGAGCAGCATCCTGGATGCCGGAGCAGCTGCCAGGGCAGGAGGGCACAGCGGGCACCCCGGGAGAGGCGGGATGAGGGATGGGGGGGCACGGGGGAGCAGGTGGGTGGGGGGATGAGGGACAGGAGGCATGTCAGAGTTGGGGTCCCAGGCTGGGGATGGCAGCTGGCTCTGCTCACTGCTGGTGTCCAAAGCAGCGACCCGGGGAGCCTCGGGAAGGGGACACTGCGGTCCCAGCCCAGCTGGTGCAGGCAGGAGGGTGAGGAGGGGCAGGAGGGTGAGGAGGGGCATGGGCAGGAGGGTGAGGAGGGGGGTGCTGGCAGGAGGGTGGTGAGGACACGGCTGGGAGGATGAGGATGAGGACACAGGCACGGCTCGTGCAGTCTCTGCCCTCTTTCCCCCAGACGGTGTGTGCCGGGGGTCACATTGCCAAGACCCTGGGCTACCTGGAGCTGGGCACCTCCGGCCTCCTCAAGGATGTCCCCTATGGCACCCTGAAGCCCCCGGCGCTCGACCCCGGGCGGCTGATCCCGGCAGAGCCCCCCCGGGGCGCCGGACGGAGCCCCTGGGACTGGCAGAAGAACCAGACGGCCGGGGAGCCGCCGAGCCCCCGCGCCCACCGCAAGCCCACCCTCAAGTCCGGCCGCACCAAGAAGATTTTCGGCTGGGGAGACTTCTACTTCAACATCAAGACGCTCAAGTTCAGCCTCCTGGTGACGGGCAAGATCGTCGACCACATCAACGGCACCTTCAGCGTCTACTTCCGACACAACTCCTCCAGCCTGGGCAACGTCTCCGTCAGCATCGTGCCCCCCTCCAAGGCCGTGGGGTTCGAGGTGCTGGTGCCTGGCCCCCCCCAGCTCCCGCCGCCGCCCCCCCAGCAGAGCACCCTGCCCGAGGGGCGCCCGGCCAAGGCGCTCAACTGCCACGTGGAGTACGAGAAGACGAACCGGGCGCGCAAGAACAAGCCGTGCCTGTACGACCCGTCCAAGGTCTGCTTCACGGAGCACACGCAGAGCCACGCGGCCTGGCTCTGCGCCAAGCCCTTCAAGGTCATCTGCATCTTCATCTCCTTCCTCAGCATCGACTACAAGCTGGTCCAGAAGGTCTGTCCCGACTACAACTTCCAGCACGACAACCCCTACTTCGGCTGACGGCAGCGCGGCGGGGGCGGGGGGGTGGGGGCGGGGTGGGGGGGTGCTGTGCCCCCTTCACGGCTGCTCGGTGCCCCCCGTGACCCCCACACTGACCCCTCCTTGTCATCGGAGCATCCCCGTGCCGTGTCATGGGACGGCTGGTGCTGGGGGTCCCGGCCTCCCCCCCACTGACATCCCATCCCTGCAGCACCCCTGCACCCCGTGGGGTACAGCCAGCTCTGGGGACCCCCCCTCACCCGCTGGGACCCTGTCCCTGCACCCCGTGGGGTACAGCCAGCTCTGGGGACCCCCCCTCGCCTGCTGGGACCCCGTCCCTGCAGCACCCCGGGCTGGGGTACAGCTGTGCTGGGGGTGCTGGGGGTGCTGACACCCATCACTGCATCCCTGGGGTACAGCTGGTTCTGGGGGTCCCAGCCCCCCCCCGCCCATTGAGACCCCCCCACCCACTGCAACCCCCTCACTGCAGCCCCCCTGCATCCTACTGGGGTACAACTGGTGCTGGGGGTCCTGGCCCCCCTCCCCCCTGAAATCCCGTCCCTGCAGCTCAGGGGGTGCAGGCACGGACCCCCCCCGTGCTGGGGGCTGGGCTGGGGGTGTGGGGGTGAACCGGGGGGTTCAGCCCCCTGCGATGTCACCTCTGGGGTGTCACGGGGGGCAGGTCAGGGTGCTGGGGGGGGTCTCAGTCCTCACCCCATACACTGGGGGGGCTTTTGTCTCCCTGCAGCCCCCCAGCTGTGCACGTGTGTGTGTGCAAGGGCCCCACCCAGGGGTTTTGGAGCCCCCCCCCCCAACACTGGCCCTGCTCCAGCGCCACAACTGAGCCCCCGGAGCCCCACGGACCCCCCCTCCATGGGGGGCCCTTCCAGGTGTGCAGCCCCCACACCCCACGCCGTGAAGAAGTGCCAGGCGGGGGTCAGGGACGTAGGGGGGGTCCCCAGGGGCTGCTCCCCCCCCGCTTGGGAAGGGGCTTCTTCATCATTTTTTTTTAAAGAAAATTAACATGGAAAAAAAAAAAGTGGAAAATAAAGAAACAATGAGGGAAAAAAAAGAAAAAAAGGTGTGTTGATCCTCGTCGACCAGGGATGGAGGAGGGGGGCAAGGATGGGGGACCCCCAGATTGGGGATCGGGGGGGGAACAGGGATGGGGGAGCCCCAGGATTGGGAATGGGGGGGAACAGGGATGGGGGAGCCCCAGGATTGGGGATCGGGGGGGAACAGGGATGGGGGAGCCCCAGG